AAAATAAGGTATATGGGACTCTAATGTAGGATGTGGTCAGTGCTGCTTTTCTGTGGGTATAAAGTGAGTCCTCTGAAAACCAATAATGGTAAAGAGAGGAGGGGCTCACGACCACACAACCATCAAGAAAAAGGACCATGAATGGAGTACATCTTTTATACTCTGCGATCCCTGGATGGAAAGGCAGTGGCCGAAAGAGCTGCAATGATGACATGCTACAGAGCCTTGGGCTTCCCACCCTACAGGATAAGTGGGGCTGAGTGCCTTTGGGCAGGAGGCTGGCTGCTGAGGAGGGTGCCATTTTTAGCAATAACCAGTGCGGAAAGAATAGTGTAACAGTTGCCTGGGCAAGGAAGAGACCCAGTTCATGGCATGTGTTGGAGACCATGGACCAAAGAAGGAGATGCGCCAGCTGGCATGACTGAGAAAGGGCACTGGGGACATAAAGATTGTATTCTTAACATTTTTTATTCTGACTTGCAACCTGTTAGCTTCCCTAATAAGCCCCATAATCAGGAGTACTATATCAACGGTAAGTTCTGTGTGGCAATTGCAAATGGACTGCCTAGCCCTGCAGAGAAATGGAGTGCTATGAGAGGAATAATTAGTCTCAGAATAAAGTAAAGAAAGTTTGGGGGCTCAAGGCATATCTGACTTCCTCCTCACAGAAACTCTCTCGTGGACTGATGTGGAATTGGGTTCCTTCCTCTTTTGAAGTCAAGAGGTTTAAATATAATTTACTCAGTTATATTTAAATACCAGGAATGAGAATTTCAACCTGTCTTTTTTTATAGATCAGAATTCAAACCATGGCATAACATCTTATTTAAATTATGGGAAGATATTCTACTGTAGTGGCATTTATCAAAGTCTCTAAACATAAAAGTAGATTTTAATAATAAGTCAAGTTTAAGTTTGAATAATTTGGTAAAAGTTAAAAACGCCATGATTGTCTTCACAGGGTAGTGGGATACAGTAGACTAGAGGATTTGAGAAATCTTCTTGAAGGTGCCTTGAGGGTAGCGCTTTAAATGCAGAATCGCTTGCATTGGCATTCCAACAGGACTACTTATTAACTTGATATCTTGAGTGGTTATTTAATATAAATCCCAGTTTACTATAAAAGATAAGTAATAGTGGTCCTACCTTATAGCGGTTTGGTGAGGATTTGATGGCATTTACAGCATACAAAGTGCCGTCCGTACAAACACCGAGGAGAGACAACATGCAATATAGTTTATTAATCTGAGCTCTTTAATCTTGCCTTTCTCAGGCATATTTGATCATGAGACCCTTATGCGGTGTGTGGAACACCTGTTAATATCTTGCACAGTGTGGTCTTTGCACCTCCATGTGGAAACCCTACTTCCTGTTGGTTCGTCTGGGAGGTCGTAATGATAGGGTTTCGCTCTGAGCTAGAGCTGAGCATGGGCCCCCTAACTAGACACACTTATTTCTCTCACGTGCACTGTGATTTTATGAGGATAATAGCATTCTGCCGCAAAAGGACAGATGATACATCATATGAAAGCAATGGCGTGTTTTGATTAATCTTTTGTTTTAATCCTTAAAATACTGAATTTATGGAACCAAATAAAACCTTCTAGGAATTATCATTTTATTTCTTAATATAGTAAAGGAAGGCACCTCATTTCAAAATGTTCACATTTGTGTGTTTTTAACAATTCATGGACTCATGTGTAGAGAGCCTCTCTAAATTAATAATTCACTCCTTTCCAAGTGGGACATAGCGCAGGGCTTGGGCTTCAAGGACATGGCTTTCGATCTTTACTTTCGTTTTCTTGTGAAGCTGGCCAGTTACTGCCATCTCTCTAGCCTGTGGTTTCTTTTCTTTAAAATGGTGTTGCTAGTACTTCTTGTGTAAAAGTCTTATAAGAATGAGAACTATAACGCAAATGTGTATGAGATTTCCAATACATAATAGAGACTCAAAGACAGCGAGGCAGCTTTTAACAGAGGAAGATTTCCCGAATAATGAATGTCCATCTTCTTAGTAAAATATTTAAAATGTAATATAAACCAAAGATGATTTTAACTCTTAAGGTATATATATATATATGTGTGTGTGTGTATACATATATATAAATTTTAAACAAATTCAGAGTATTATGTAAATCAATTGGCTTTCATAACGCACACATATATACATGTATATGCTTTTGTGTGAGTATATGGGTATGTTTATATATGCATATAGATAGATAGATACTCATGAATAGATAAACTTAAGTTCCAGGTTCTGTAATATATACAAGCTTAGGATATTGATTAAAAGTAATTGTAAAAATTATAAGAGGCCTCTTTTCCCCCTCTTTGGCTTAGGATATCTCCTGAGATGTAGCAAGGACCCATCAGTATTTTTGAAAATGAAATCTTAAAAAAAGTCATGCCTTTATGCTTCAGAACTATGACCTTATCTTGTCTTTTGAAACTAATATATCCTTTCAGCACATTTACTTTTCTTTTAAGGCTTCATACTTTTCTATTTACTTCAGCTGGATTGGGTAGTGAAAATCACCTTAATTTTCAATTCTTTTCCAAGCTATACTCTAATAACATTCTTCTATTTTCGGTGTTTTAAAGAAAGAGGTTAATTTTTTTTAAATCACTTTATTGGGGACTCGTACAACTCATCACAATCCATACATCCATCCATTGTGTGTCAAGCACATTTGTACATTTGTTGCCCTCATCATTCTCAAAACATTTGCTTTCTACTTGAGCCCATGTTATTAGTTCCTCATTTTTTCTCCTCTCTCCCCACTCCCCCTCCTTCATGAACCCACGATAATTTATAAATTATTTTGTTGTCATATCTTACACTGTCCAACATCTCCCTTCACCCACTTTTCTGTTGTCCATCCTCCAGGGAGAAGGTTATATGTAGACCCTTGTAATTGGTTCCCCCTTTCTAACTGACCTTCCTTCCACCCTCCTGGTATTGCCACACTCACCACTGGTCCTGAAGGGATCATCTGTCCTGGATTCCCTGTGCTTCCAGTTACTATCTGTACCAGTGTACATCCTCTGGTCTAGCTGGATTTGTAAGGTAGAACTGGGATCATGACAGTGAGGGGTTAGGGAGGAAGCATTTAAGAACTAGAGGAAAGTTGTATGTTTCATCGTTGCTACATTGCACTCTGAATGGCTTGTCTCCTCCCCATGACCCTTCTGTAAGGGGATGTCCAGTTGCCTACAAATGGGCTTTGGGTCCCCAAACTGCACTGCCCCTCATTCACAATGATATGATTTTTTTGTTCTTTGAGGCTGATACCTGATCCCTTTGACACCTCATGATCACACAGGCTGGTGTGCTTCTTCCATGTGGGCTTTGTTGCTTCTGAGATAGATGGCCGCTTGTTTACCTTCAAGCCTTTAAGACCCCAGATGCTATATCTTTTGATTGCCCGGCACCATCGACTTTCTTCACCACATTTGCTTATACACACATTTGTCTTCAGTGACCATGTTGGGAAGGTGAGCATCATGGAATGCCATTTTAATAAAACAAAGTGTTCTTGCATTGAGAGAGTACTTGAGTGGAGGCCCAGTGTCCATAAGCTACCTTAATACTAAACCTATAAATATATGCACATAGATCTCTTTCCCCATCATCATATACAAATATATTTACATTTGTACATGCCTGTATTTAGACCTCTATAAATGCCCGTTGCCGCCTAGTTATTTCCTCTACTTCCTTTTACTTTCCTCTTGCCCCACTATCATGCTCAGCCTTCATTTGGGTTTCAGTAATTCCCCTTGGTCACACTGTGTTTGATCAAGCCCTACCAGGCCTCCTACACCCTCCTCACCACCGATTTGGATCACTTGTTGTTCCCTTGTCCCTGGGTTGGCTAATACCGACTTCCTTTCCCCCACCTCCCTCTCTCCCAAGCCCCTTTACCCCCCTCCCCCCAGGAACCATTGGTCTCATTGTTTCCTCCTCTGGATTATTTATCCAGCCTATCTTATCTAGATAGACCTGCAGAGATGATAATATTCACAAGAAAACAAGACAGAGCAAAACCAAAGTGACAAAAGAAAACAAAAAGTATTGTGTACTTTACATGGCTGTTGTAAGATTTATAGACAGGATAATGTATGAGGAACTGTCTTTAAACCAGCAAAGTCCCATCTAATGTGTTCTTGTTAGGGGCTGTTGAGTCATCTCAGACTCATAGTGAACAAAACACTGTCCTGTCCCGCAGCACCCTCACAATTATTGTTATGTTTGAGCTCATTACTGCAGCCACTGTGTGCGATGCACTATTAAAGGGATGATGATGTATAGCAGTGGTTGTCAACCTTCCTAATGCCGTGAGCCTTTAATACAGTTCCTCATGTTGGGGTAACCCCCATAACCATAAAATTATTTTTGTCGCCACTTCATTACTGTAATTCTGCTACTGTTATGAATAGGGTGACCCCTGTGAAAGGGTTGTCCAAGCTCCAAAGGGATCGCGACCCACAGGTTGAGAACTGCTGATGTATAGGTTAACGACCCTTTGAGACACAGTCGGGTGAGCGTTAGACTGTTATCTGCAACCCTGGCAATTCCAAACCTTCTGTCAGGCTGTGCGAGAAAGATGAGGCTAGCGGCTCCTGTAAAGATGTACAGGGTTGGAAACCATGTGTAGGATTGCTATGACTCAGAATCGCCACAATGCGAGTGGGTTTGGTTTCCAGTTTGAATGCACAGCTTGGAGTTCATGGCAGCATCTGTGGTAAGTAATCTCCATGCTTTGTCTCACTTAATCCTCAGGGCAGCCTTACGGAAGAAGAAACTGCGACTCACAAGCAAAAATAACTTCCTGTCTCCCAAACTAGACTCAGACCTGCCTCCGTTAGTCTCCAAAGCCTAAAGTCTTAACCCACTTTCTGTCCCTTAAGTTTATCTAACAAGCATTTTTATATCCTTAATAATATAGAATGTTAAATACTCATTTAATTAATTATTCATTTATTTCTTCTTTAAGATCCTGATGAATTTGAACAGATATACGAGCCCCTGGATGTCAAAAGTAAAAAGATCCATGTGGTGGATAGTGGGCTCACATTTAACCTCCCTTATCCCTTGATCCTGAGACCACAGAGAGGGGTTGATCTTATCATTTCTTTCGACTTTTCTGCAAGGCCAAGCGATTCCAGCCCTCCCTTCAAGGTAAGAAGAGTACATATAACATTCCATTACCTACCATATTCTCTTGCATGTCTTGTTTAAAAAAATCATTTTTTAAAATCATTTTATTAGGGGCTCATACAACTCTTATCACAATCCATACACACATCAATTGTGTAAAGCGCATTTATACATTCATTGCCCTCATCATTCTCAAAACATTTTCTCTCCACTTAAACCCCCGACATTAGGTCCTCATTTAAAAATCATTTTATTGGAGGGGCTCATACAGCTCTTATCACAATCCATACATGCATCCATTGTGTCAAGCACATTTGTACATGTGTTACTGTCATCATTTTCAAAACATTTTCTATTTGAGCTCTTAGTATGAGCTCCTCATTTTTTTCCTCCCTCCTCCACTCCCCCTCCCTCATGAATCCTTGATCATTTATAAATGTCTATTTTTTTCATGTCTTACTCCAACCACTGTCTCCCTTCACCCACTCTTCTGTTGTCCATCTCCCTGGGAGGGGATTATATACTGTATCAATCATTGTGATTGGTTCCCCTTTATTCCCCCCACCTTCCCCTGCCCCTCCTGGTGTCGCCACTCCCGCTATTGGTCCTGAGGGGTTTATCTGTCCTGGATTTCCTGTGTTTTGAGCTTTCCTCTGTACCAGTGTACATGCTCAGGTCCAGCCAGATTTATAAGTTAGAATGGGGTTCATGATGGTGCAGGTGGGGGGGCTGGGGGTGGAAAGCATTAAAGAAGGAGAGGAAAGTTGTGTGTTTCATCGGTGCTATACTACACCCTGACTGGCTCGCCTCTTCCTTGTGACCTCTCTGAAAGGGGATGTCCAACTGACCGTAGATGGATTCTGGGTCTCCACTCCGCCCTCCCTCTCATTCACATTGATATGAATTTTTGGTTTTGTTTTGGATCTTTGATGCCAGATACCTGATCCTATCGACACCTCATGATCACACAGTCTGGTGTGTTTCTTCCATCTGGGTTATGTTGCTTCTCAGCTAGATGGCTGCTTGTTTATCTTCAAGCCTTTAAGACCCCAGATGGTATATCTTTTGATAGCCGGGCATTTCTTATATGTCTTATAAATCTTGCATGTCTTATAAATCTCTTAGTCTCCTTGACCCCAATTTTGTATCCCTTAAAACTATTTTTTACATTATTACAAGCAATATTTCTAAAGCACAGTCCTAAAGAATGGTTTCACTGCTTCAGGAAACTTTTAAATGACTTTCTCTGATATACACTAATGTCAGCCTTGACCAAGCAAGTGTGCCTCACTAGATCAAAAGTTCTGGCGGGAAATTGGAATGACAGATATAATGAGTTAGGAGGTTTTAGCAGGTAAATGATAACAAAAGCCAGGTAAACGGATGGACTCTCATCGGAGGCCTGTGTACTGGAAGAAGGGAAGGGATAGAATGCACCTTGCAGAGAACAATAGAATTGAAGGAACTTTGGAGGAAAGCCAAGGAAGTGCGCAGTGTTTATGAAAATGAGTTGAAGTTATTTAACAACAAGAAAGATTTTAATAAACTGAGCAATAGACATTTTGATAGCATGAAACTCTCTGACTAGTGGTTTGAGGAAATGGTGCAAGTTAAGAAAATGGTGACAATGCTGTAAGGTTCAAAGGGAAAGGAATATGGCCTGTAAATTCAAGAGCATGCAGGAAGAGGAAAGTCGTGTGTGTGTGTGTGTGTGTGTGTGTGTGTGTGTGTATTAGAGTTGTTAGTAGAAGGGGCTAAAGCATGCTTCAGTACAGATGCCCAAGGAGCCTTAGTTACTATTGAAGTGAGGAGATCGATACATGGTAGGATTGCATCACTGGGGAAGTCGGGGTGGAGACTGGGAAGTAGTTCAAGGCACAAACAGACGACAGTACTTTAGAAACCCACACTGGTGTCAAAGGGAAGGGCAAAGAATGGCTTTGGTTGACTGGCCAGCGTGGCGAAGGAAAGGTAAGCATGGGTAAGCAGGGTGATAAGCAGGGGGAGGAAGTGCTTGCAGCACTTGCCTTCCCTGCTTTCTGCTTCAGTGGGTTCAAACAGCAGATTGAAAACTTTCAGGAAAAAAAAAATTGCAGAAAATGAAATTTGAATTTGATGAGCTGAGCACTCTGCTGAACCCATGTGAACGAAGTGCTGTAGCCTCTCACTGTTTCCCAGAGCTGCCGGCCCTCTTGAGCAATCTGTGTTTGAGAACGAATCACCTTTCATCTTCTTCGATCACTACTTGTGTTGTGTGTGTCTTTTGTTTCCATGAAAAAATGGCCCTGAAAAGCAATTAGATGGTTAAAGCAATCTCTTCTAAAGTTAAAAGGGATCATCGTTTACTATATACGTAGTGTTGGTATTTTATTAAGTATTAGGAATAATCTAGAGATGACTTACATATATGGGTGGATGTAGGCAAGTTATATGCAAATGTCACAACATTTTATATAAGGAACTTAAGTATCTGAAGATTGTGTGTGTGTGTGTGTGTGTTGGGGGGGGGCTGGGGGGGTTGGAATCAATCCTGCATAGATAGAGAAGGACAACTGAGGTTTTTCTGATAGTTTCTAACCCAAGTGACACTATCTTATATTTTTCCTCCCAAACTTGCTTCACATACAAAGTTACCCTTGAAAAGTTACCCTTCTGGATCACCACAGGTCTAGTTTTAGGGATTTTTGTAGTATTTGGTTAGGAAATCTTCCTGGCTTCTTGCCGGGCAGCTTTGTTCCCCAGATTTCTCTCCTGTTCTTTGCTAACTATAGCTTAGTTGGATATTTACAATTTTAGAGAGCATGTCTCCAACCCCTAGTTCTTTCTATTTAAGAATAATTTCTAGACATTTTTACCTTTGTATTTTTCTGCATGTACTTTAGAATAGCTTTTATCAATTCTTTTCATTTTCCCCTTTCTCTAAATGTACATGTCTGTTTTTATTATCTGTTTACTATAATATAAAACCCATTAGTTTGGAAATAGTGAATTGTATTTGCAGAAGTTTGCTATAAAGGGTATTGCAGTTTATTAAATGCAATCCTTTTTACTTTCAATGTAAACTAAAAAGTTTTAGTATAAATATTGTGAAAAGTCAGAATTATTGGCTATACTTTTTATTTTTTGAATCTTATAACTTTTCATAAATAGAGTTCAGGATGGGATTTTATAAGGACGATATAGAAAGAAAGAAATCATAGCTTTTGATAATGATAACCACAGTTTATAGTATATTGGCTTTGTCACTTCTCTTTAAACTTGATGGTGTCAATATAATAGATAGTTTAAATGAAAAATCAGGATTCAAAATAATAGTTTTAATTTATCTAACAAAAGCAAATCATTTCCATTTTGTGAAGCTTTTATTTTTATGTTGTTGTCAACTATTTAATAGCTATTAGCTCTATTAAATGAAAACTATGCTATGATAGTTGACTAAATTATCCCATAAGATGATGGGCATAATAAGTTCATCAGTACAATAAACCAATTCCAAAATTAGTTTGAATATGTCTAGGAAATTTCTGTAACAGTGTCCCCTAAAAACATTATTATATTTATGGATATATATTCATATATATGTTCCACATACAAAAATACATTTGCATATGATTATGGACACATAGGGTCACTTAGTAAGAACTGACTTGATGACCTGGGTTATAGACACAGTGGCTACAACAATGGGATTAAATATAGGAACAAGCGTGAGTAGCATGTCTTGTTTTGTTATACATCAGGTCACTACACATCAAAGCAGGCCCCAAGATGCCTCACAACAACAGTGATACACCTATACTTCCCTGTAATGCAATAACACATGCTTTCCCATAGACATGTGAGTATATAAATCAAATTTTACCTATGTAACCAGATAGATACATCTTATTTGTTATTTCTGCCTGATATTTATAATATTGAGCCTGTAGTAACTTTTAACAAAGTAGTGACATGCCAGTAGTAACCAACGGAGTGAGAACACGCCTGTTGCCAATGGCCAGTCTGCTGGTGCAGGAGCACACAGTGCTAGTTGAATGGGCAGTAGCACAAGTGAGTGGGCACCATCATTCAGTAGGACAAGGAGAGAGTGTGCTGTACCACCCGCAAGGGAGGGGTGTGGCAGCAAGTAGGAGAAACGGTTTTATCATCTCTGTTTCCGTAAATTGGAAAGAAACTTGCTTTAGTCCTCCCTGCTCTTTTTACTGCTTTATCATCAGAAGCCAGGAAAATCGGTTCATTTAAAAAAAAAGACAGAAGGAGAAAGTCAGCATAGACAATGAAAAATGCCACAAGGTAGGATAATTTGAAATTAGCTAGCCATCGAACATTGTAGAAGTAATGCATGTTTAACTTTTCTCTCTGTATTTCACTCATGGCCAAAATTCCATTTAAATCAAAATTGAAGAAAAAAGCTCTGTATTTTTCCGCTTCCTTTGTTGACATTTGGGATGGCCCTTGTTTTAGAGTTGAGTCCTGGGGGTGCAATGGCACAAGTGCTCATCTGCTCATCACAAGATCCACCCCTTTGAACCCATCACCCTATCCTTGGGAGAAAGATGAGGTGGCAGTTTGCTGGCATAGTTTGACAGCCCTGGAAGTAGATGGGGAAGTTCTACTCTGACGTAGAGGGTCACTGTGAGTCAGCATTGACTGGATACAGTTGGTTTGGTTTTGCTGTGTGATTCACTTACAATTCTGATATTGGACCATACTCTCATGACCACGCAAGTCCAAACATCTGCTTCATGGACTGAAATCTCCCAAGCCTCATTTAAGGACACTGCCTTGCATTAAATGTAGTGATTTCAAGTTTACTTGAACATGAATACTGAGTATCAGTTGTCTTCTTGGTCAGTAAAAGCCCAGCATTAGTTTCTCCTTTCATGTTTGTGAATTTATAGTAACTTCTTAATTAAGAAGAGCTAACTGGAAAGTTTTAATACAGAAGATTATTCTACTCTGTTGCATGATAGAGCTTTTAACATGTTTTTCCCCCCCTAGGGAGTGAGTGAAGCTGCAAAACAATGAATTATAAACTGTAGCTTCTAAATACGGAGTCTCAAATTAGTTACCTCAGTGCTTTTCTAAGATTTGTCGATGTTATTCCTTCTCCCCAATCTTTAAAATCAGCCTACAGTAACTTCCTTATGCTGTTGGTCTTCAATTTGCAAGACAGAAGGCTTATTATTTTCTCTAAAGTAAAGCCAACTTATCATTTTCATAGATGTTTTAGGCAATTTACACTGTGATTTAGATATATTTCTGTTATTTAGATGATTTTTCCTGGTCTTCCAGACCATTTGGTCATGTTTAATATTCAAAACAAAGTACAAACATCTTAAAAACATTATTTTAAAGAAGATTGTCACATGGTTATCTTTACAGCATATGTTTTGGGTACGTGCTGTGGATTCCTTGTGGTATAAACATGAATACCCTGGGCTGCTGACCAAGATTGGTGCTTTGAGTCTACGCAGACGTCCCCCAAAGGAAAAGACTGGGGCTCTGCTTCAGAGTCATTTTGAAGGCAGATATTTTAAAATGTAGTTTTACTAGGAGTAAATGTAGTTTTATTAGTCTATGTAAATATGGAGTATCTGAGGTGTCAAACAATAATAACAACAAGGAGTTCAAAGAGAACACAGTTTGGGAATAGTGCTGTATTTTCTAGATTGCCCCTGGGAGGGCGGGCTCTCCTGGCATTCGCTCAGAAATCCTTGGTGGAACCAGTGTGCTCCGCTCCGGCTCTGCGTCGTGGCTGCCCAGCCTTCGCAGAACTAAGGATGACACAGCAAGGCGGGAGAGTTTTCCATCCTGTAATCGCCGTCTCTGGAGTCATCACTGTATAACCTTTTCCACATCGGGAAAAGGGAAAGTTTCCACTTCTCCCCGATTCAAAGGGGGAGTCTAAAAATAACTGGCCTTTTCCCTCACGCAGTTCCCTTTTCCTCTTTCTCCACACAGCCCCTCATCATCATCGGACTCCTTGACTCACGTTTGTAAACACTAGAAAACCTCTCCCTGGTCCTCACGTAACTGAGCCGCCGGCTAAACTAATGGTTTTATTTTGAGGTTGGATAATCCTGAATGAACAATTACGAATCGTGGCAGACAAGAAATAACAAGCTGAATGATTCAACTGAACAAGTGTTTGGTGATAAAAGTTTGATCACTTCAGACAAAAAATTGCTTAGTCACGCATATATGGGATTTTCTATGAAACATAGTTTTATTTAGCTTAATAGTTTACAGAATAGAATCTTTTCATAGTCATTAAATTCTATGTTCTCCCAGGTTATTGTTTCTTTACAAATAGTATTAGGGGAGAGCTGATCAATATAAAATTCAACACATTCCAGAAATGCTATAAGCAGTGAAAGCTCAATTGAATGTTTACTTCTCATTGAATTTAATGTGCTGTTTTAAAGTACTTGTTTTTATTGCATTTATATTACTGAGGTGTTTATACATGACCATATTTAGTCCTCACAGAAATGCCATGTAGAATATATTAGTCTTAGTATTAATATTAGATCATAGTATTAGCTTTATTAGATGTAGAAAATGAACTGCTTTTCAATAAGTAATCAATGAAATGAGTTCAGAAGCCTACTGTTTCAGGGATATTGAAAAACCAGTTCCCTTTTTGCTTGTTTATTTTTATTTTTTAAAACGATGGAAATTATTTTATTCATTCACTAGATTACTACAATGTAAGGGAATAATTATTTAGCAGATGCAGATGTACAGGCTGGAGGACAGTTCCTTAACATGTAACCAGGCCATGCCTGTAACCTGCATGGAAAGCCGCTATCCTGATCACAGACAGGCCAGGAGAAAAGAGAATCCCGCGGCAGAATGAGAGCGCCTCAGGGGACACTGATGGGCACAGGGTGCCCGTGGCCTGAGACCCCGCATCCTTTCCTCAGGCAGGAAGGAGATCTCGTCATTGCTCTCCAGTTCTACTTGATTCTGTCTTCACAAGTTTACTTCCCCTGAGCTGGGAGCTCTTACTTGCGACTTCCCTTTTTCATCTTTGTTTTTTAAATCATTTTATTGGTGGCGCTGACAACTCTCATCACAATCCATACATACATCCCTTGTGTCAGACACATCGGTTCACTTGTTGCCCTCATCATTCTCAAAACATTTGCTTTCTACTTGAGCCCTTGGTATCAGCTCCTCCTTTTTTTCTCTCCCACTCCGTTCCCCTTTCCCTCATGAACTCTTGATAATTTATAAATTATTATTATTTGGTCGTATCTCACACTGTCCGAAGTCTCCCTTCACCCACTTTTCTGTTGTCCATCCCCCAGGGAGGAGGTCACATGTAGATGTTTGTCATCGGCTCCCGCTTTCTACCGCACCTTCCCTCCACCCTCCCGGTATCGCCACTCTCACCATTGGTCCCGGGGGAGTCATCTGTCCTGGATTCCCTGTGTTGCCAGCTACTTGTTTATTTTTTTAATATATGGTTCTTAAAGTGTCCTGAAGGAATGACACTGCATATTGTAGCCCAGAAAGTAATTTCTTTTTTGTTGAACTGCCGTGACTGAGATCCCCCGGCCTGCAAGTTAAGACACCTTGTTGAATTGGGCATTTTGGACTTCACAGCCAGGCACATTACTGCCACCACCTTTGATTCCTTTTGCACACTTTACCATAATATCAGTACTTCATCTATCCCACTGATTGATACCCTTCAAGGTTTTTCAGGGACAACCTCTGGCATGTAGGAGGGGCTCAATGGTTATGGAATTAATAAACTCTCTGAGGAAGTAGCCGAGTTGTATCTTAAAATCTCACAGTCAACTGAATTTATTTGTCCAAAGCATTTTTCACAGTTTTTTACGGGAAGAATGCTTTGATCACTCTTGGTCATCAAAGGAGCTCTGGGGTCCAATGAGCATTGTGCTACTAAGCACACAGTCCGGGATTCAAAACCCCCAGCCACTCCCTCCTCTGGAGGGAGAAGAGGCTGTCTGTACCCAGAGAGATTTTCAGATTCAGAAATAAGCTTGCCGAGTGAGAGTTACTGCAGTAGCAGCGGTGTTGGATTGTGGAATCTCTCAGCAAGCTGTAGATGTCAGGAAAAAAGTCAAGGGTACTTTAATTCACCGTTAAGTCCCCAATTCCTAGCACAGAGATAGAACTTATTCAGTCACCAGTTCTGGACTTAATCAAACTGCCAAGAATATTAAAAATTAAAACAAAAACCACAGACTAAAACTATTATGCTAATTCCCTAAAAGATTTCTTTTTCTTTGTTTAGTGTTGTGCTGATCTCTTTCTTTATTTCTTTATTTTGCTTTCCAAGCCTGTTTCCTCTCATGTGTATACCACTTACTATATGACAGCCGCCTTTCTAGATACTGTAAAAATACTGTCTCACATGACCCTAATAGAGGTTCTATGGGATATGGATTGTTATTGCCTCCTTCATATTATGTTTTAGGGTCTTGAGCACAGAAATGTCGCTGAGGTCACATAATTACTTCCTGGTGCTGGATACGAGTGACACTGATTGATTAATGTTCTCTCATCTAGCTTAAATGATTTGTATGCTTACCTTTTACGTTAATCAGATTTGTTGAAAGGGGGAAAATCACAAATATACCATAGGATGAAAACCACGTGTACGTTTCAATTGGTTCCTTTATGTGGAATCAAATTAGGTGTGATGGCTCTGTTCCCTGTGTGCTCTCATTCTAGTGGGGATGTACATCCACTTAACCGGAAGGGGGCAGATATGTGGAAACAATTATACAATTTGCCACACCCTTCAGCTGAGGTCTCAGTATCTCTGTATGGGCTAGAGTAGGCACTCTACATGTAACACCATGCTGACACTAGAGTGCAACTTTTTTTTTTTTAACCTAGAGGGGGACATTTGTATATCCATCCCTGTACAATGTACACTTTACTGGAGGGGGTATGGGTAAAAATCCAGTAGCAGAAAGTTCTTCATTCTGCTTCATCAGTTTCTTTTTACTGCGAAAAGGAAACCCTCATGCAATTATCTAGCAAATGCATCTGCATACTTAAGTTTATTACTGAGAAGAGGAAATTCTCATGCAATTATCTAGCAAATGCATCCGCATACTTAAGTTTAATTCATCAATAATGTTTTAAGTGCCTGCTGTGGAGCTAATTTTATACCAAAGGCTGGTATAAAACTAATGAGTTTGTTTGTGAAGAATTATAGTTTGTTTTGTCTGGTTTGTTAGATTGATGAGAAGACGGGCGTTAGCTATCCTAGCAAGGAGCCCACCTTTGCCACATAGTGGACACCTAGTAATTTTTGAACGATGACCAACCAAGGCGAACTAAAGTCTAAAAAGTCTGAAATGCACCCTTCTCTCTATCACAGGAGCTTCTACTAGCAGAAAAGTGGGCTAAAATGAACAAGCTCCCATTTCCAAAGATAGACCCTTACGTCTTTGATCGGGAAGGACTAAAAGAGTGTTATATCTTTAAACCCAAAAACCCCGATGTGGAGAAAGATTGCCCAACCATCATCCACTTTGTTCTGGCTAACATCAATTTCAGAAAGTACAAGTCTCCAGGTATGTTGGGAATCGTTTCAGTCTAGACCATTGAAGTCTGATAGGCAAGGAAAGCTCACACTGGTACTTCCATGCCAGTGGTTCCATTTGGAAATCTTCCCTTATTTTGATAAAGATTTATAGTATCTTGAACCCCCAATTATTTTACCTTTGTCCCACCCGAAGATTATCTGGGTTTCTTACAACGCAGAAACGGAAGAGTTACCAGCCAGTTCAGTGAGAAGAATCTCCATGCCTTGTCACAAGACTTGGATTAGTTTGTTCTAATTGATTCATTCTAGTTGATTGTCATAGGAGTTGTTAAATATTTTTATGATTACCCTTGCAAGGGAGACCTTGTTTTAAAACAATGAATGTAAAACATTCTGGGATTGTTACTGACCACATGAGTAACAGGATCTAGCAGTACAAGATGACTAGCAATTTGCCAAAATTTGCTTCAAGTAGAACCTGAGAAGCAAGTTCAAGGCAATGCAATTCTGCTTTACAGCACCCAGAGGGCTCATGAAAAGATATCTAGAGATTAGCTGGTATTATGCTAAAAACAATATCATTTTGAGAACAGGAAATGTAGTTTTATTTGTTTTGTTTTATTTTTATAAAAAAGAAAGAGGCAGATAATAGTCCTGGAGGGTAGGAGAGGAAAAGACGGAGGAGAAAATGATCTCTTTTTTCTAGCTTGTACAGGAATCCAGAAAAAATGATTAATGTGCATATTAAAAAATGATTAATTGTGAGGCATGCTTTAACACAAGAGAAGGAAGAACAGGCCAGGATTTTTTAGCTATTGAATACTTGGGTGTTTCAGACCCAGAATATTTTCGATCACTGTTAATTTTCAAGGAGAGACTCATTGAGTAGTTGGCTTGCGTAGCAGATTCCTGCGGCATGACAACAGACACTGTTCTGTCTTGGGCTTCCCAGGAGAATGTTCGCAGCTCAAGATTGGAGTACGAATAGTTTACTTGGGTGGTGTCCGGAACTTTGGTACTGAGCGGTGAAGTGTGAAGGCATGGGTGACAACAAAGACTGGTTTCTTTAGCTAGCTTCCATCGGAGGGCACGGAAGTGGTAACTTTGCAGGGAAACTGAAAAATGGCATCTAAGTTAGAATCAGCAGTTCCTTGCTACCCATACACACATACACACACCCAGGGGTAAGGGAACTGAGGATTTATTTATATACTAATTTCCCAGAGTCATTGATTGAGGGCTACTTGGGATGGAGTGTTGTCCATTTCCAGAACTTCAAAACTACTGCTAATGGACCAAGACATTTTCCATAGCTGTAAAGAGGGGCAGGAAGCCCTTGGGCAAAGAGAAACACACTATCCATTGGAATTCACTTGAATGCACAGAAGTGGGAGAGTTCAAGGTATTTGGGTACAGGTACCAATAGTGTATGCTATGAGTAACATAACTTCTCTGGAGTTCCCTAGTGCTGTTCTTTAAGCTATTTGTAGATTTTATTCCTTGAATTTTAGAACCACTTAATGGTTTTCTAACTAACACAATTGATGATTCTTCTGATATTTAGGTGTTCCAAGAGAAACTAAAGAGGAGAAAGAAATAGCTGACTTTGACATTTTTGATGACCCAGAATCACCATTTTCAACTTTTAACTTTCAATATCCAAACCAAGCATTCAAAAGGTTGCATGACCTAATGTACTTCAATACCCTAAACAACATTGATGTAAGTATCTATCACTATTAGAGTATTATTATACACTGTTCCACATGAACATAACAATACTACTTTCTAGATAACAGAAAATAAGATTCATGAACACCACCACCAAAAATGTGCCAAATTGCTTTTAATGAGTTATTTTATGCATAACTGGAAGAACCCTAAAACTTCACAAATAATAACCATTCACTGGCTGAGCTTATATTTTATGCTATCATGTAATGGTTAATGATACGCTATCTTTTGATTGGCTAATACTTATTTTCTTCCCCAAAGTGTCGTCTCTCACATCGTGATAAAATAAATTTTATTTTATAAATAAGGAAGACAAGTGATGATGAGAAAATACAATGAAGTTTGTCTGCCAAATATAAAAATGAGTAACTTTTAAATGCTACACTCACGCTTTAAAATGCCCTAAGCTTTATTGCTCTTGGCAGTAGCCTCCCTAACTTTTAGTTATTGAAATATCAAGCATTCTTCATTTTAGAAACAAGTAATTCTCTTCCTATTGATCATTTTTTATCACTAGTATATCGACTACCAAGATTTCTGTGAAATTCCCTAGTCTCTACCACACCATTTAGGGAAACTATTGCATAATTAAAATCATGCTACCTTGTGATTTTGAATCGTAGCGTCTGACAAGTTTTTATCAATTGAGGAAGCCTAAGAGCTATAAATTTTTATATGAAATTGTAGTGTCTGACATGTTAACACTTGAGAAAGTCCAAATTCATAGTACAAATGGGATCGTGTGCATTAGAAAAAGTATAAAAAGAAAAGAAAGAAAAAATCATATGCAGAAAGAGAGGGTATGATGTCTGATGATTCCTTTTCTTTTGGGGAGTTTCTGAATGGCACATAACACCTCACTGTGTGTGGATAAGGGTTCTGCTCACAGGGGATTTAAGGAGATTTTGTAAGCAAGTAGAACTCTGGCATATCTAGTTCTGTTTTGTCTGAAATCTGTAATGATTAATTGTGTACAAAGATGGCACATACCCCTAATATTTACTAGAGTCTTTAATTTGATAAAAGTAGGAATGTTTCCTTCATAGAAGTTTTCACTATTAATAGTTTTATCTTACAGTGCTTTTAAAATGTTGCTGTAGCATTCCAGACATAACATTTTGGTAGCAGTGTGATCAGGTGGAAGGTATGTGGTTAAAAAAATACATGGAATAAAAACCCCAGGGATAAGAGGCCAGTTCCTGCAACTCTAAAGTGTTTTCTTTTGATTCTTTATTTGAGCATAATATGAGTCAATTCATGCTAAATATGTTTAGCAACATTAATAGCTGATATCGTTTTCTGAATATATGTAAATTGATGTATCTTGTACGCGGTGATCATCTGAAGACCACCAGCTCTTTTGGGTCTGTAGTGATAGTGAGCACTCAACAAGAGAAGCTTAACGTATCCTCCCCTAGGAGGAAGATACATTCTCAAATCATATTTGATTTTGAAAATACCCACCTTGTTAAAAAAGACTAGAGAACGAAGAAACAATCTCATGGCCATCTCATTTTGTTTTTCTAGAATAAAGCCAGTGAACTCAAAACAGCGTGTTTCTTGTCATGACCACTCTAGCTCAGGTTGTCTTCATATGGGAAAAACCTCAATTCTCACTGCATATCTGTACAAGCATCTGTACAGTGGATCATCGATGACCATTGAAGGGGAGGAGGACTTTCAGTGAGGCAGGTTGACACAGGGACTGATCCAGCAGACTTGAACATAGCAACAACTGTGAGCCAGGGCAGGACCAGTGGTGTTTCCTTCTGTTGTGCATATAGTTGCTATAAATGAGAACCAACCCATTGGTGCCTAGGCACAGCAGCATACTTACTCTGTTGGATTTGGGAAAATAAAATAATATATAATACTCGTACTGAAAACAGCTCCGTTCCTCTTATGGTTTCCAATTATGCTTTATATAAAATCTTCTAAGTCATTTTATATAAAGAATGATATACTTTTATGAACATATTTTTAAAAGCATTCTTCAAGGTAGTGTGTTTGGCACAGTGATCAAAATATGAAAGCATGGTCAAAAGTAAAATTTATTTTAAAATAACTGTTTTGACTTGCAACTCAACAAATACCGGTTGCTTATAAACCTTTAATCAAGCTATGTGTGATGGTACCGTCTACCTTTTCAGGCATTCGGTGAAAGGAACATGAAGAGGCAAGCTTCTGGGCTTTTTGCCATGTTTACATCCCAGATGGGTCATATGTTTAGCTTAGACAAAGACACTTAATGTAGTGTAGCTGAATTTCATCATCTCGGAAGCAAAGCGAACCATTCCTTTCATAATGCAGTTATAAGCATTTAATCTTTTTTTTACTATCAATAATGGATTTTATTCTGATTTTCTAATATTAAATAAAAGCATTTGATCTTGAGGTGGTTTTTGAACCCAACCACTGCTGTCAGGGTCCTGCAAATAAAAGCTGCTCAATGAATGGACATCTATACATGTGTCTATGCGTGTCAATAGCCTGTACCCCTGCAGGCCTCTGACTGACACACCCCAAGACTTTTGAAAATGCACAGAAGTGAAAACATAGACATTTATATATGCTGTCTGAGTAGGCAGTGAGAATTATTTGAGGGGATGAATTTAATCTTTCTCCTAAATTGCATCACCATTTAGATTTAGGGGCTCCAGTGGTTGCTCTCTGTGCGCAGACATGTTAGTCTCTCAAATCCTGTCCAGCCTTTGTGCCCATTACCATTTTCTTTCTTTCTTCTTGTCTCCCAAATCAAGAAAACACTTTCTATCAGCATCAACACTTCTATTTTATTTTCCCTCCCATCCCGGGGGACCATCAAGGAATGTTTCTTTTCGTCTGAAAAATTTTTATTGGCTTGCTCATAATAATCATCTCATATAATATTTGTTCTTTTGCCATTGACTTTTAAAAGGTGAGAAGTACACAGCTTTGTGGAGACTAGGATACGGAATAATGTAGTAGGCTCGACCACAAGCTAAATCGTTCCCTCACTGTTTGGATAGAGCAGGATGCGCATTTACACTTCAGCACATGTTTGTCTGCCATGGATGGGGCTGAACGCTTCAAATGAGAAGCCATTTAATGGACCATCTCTGTGGGCACTGCTTCTGTGTGGTACAGCCACGGCTGAAGGCAACTTCTCAACCATCCACCTTCCAGCTTGAATCTTTACTCTGGAAAGGTCACCTGTGCCTGGCTGTTTCCTTACCCCAGGAGTTCCGAGTTGGTCTGTGTTGTTTAAGCCAAATTCCAACTCATCTGTAAGGACTTCGGCTCTGCTTCTCCTCATTTCGTGACAGCAGCCAGCCTTGCTCATGCGCACTGGATGCCTGCGTGTACTCAGTCTTGCCAAATGCCCTCTCACGGAATATCGCGTCAGCGCGTTCACACTGGCAGTATTTCGTTCTTTTTTTGAAGACCTTCTCTGGTCACTTACCTTGGAGGATTTGTGGTACGTGGGAGGTGCCCGGGCTTTGGATTGAGACAGAAATTGATGTTCAAAACTTTGCTGTGCTGAGCATTATCTAGATGATCGTGGACCTGTTGGTTAACATGTATGGATTCTGCTTTCCTCACTGGGGAAGGGAAATAATGAGGAAAGCAGAATTCATACTAACTACAAGGCTAGCAGTTCGAAACTTCTAGCTGCTCCAAGAAAGAACGATCGGCCTTTCTCGTCTAATGCAGTTACTCTATGCGTTAGAACCAAGTTGGGGCAGTGAGTTGTATATATTTGGTTTTGTGGTGCACAATAATGAATTCTAGGATTCTTATCTAATTCTAGGAATTGTTAAATATTAGATGCCAATTAAAATAAGGAAGTACAAACTCAGAAATAAAAACCTCCAGTAAAACAACACGTCTGCCCTCTACCTGCTGCTGACTTAGTTGAGACCTGTAGGATGGGATAGAGCTGTCCGAAAGGGTTCACAGGCTGCAAATCCGTGTAGCCGCTGACTACCATGTGTTTTCCCCAGTTAGGAACTGGTCGGTTCGAAGCTCTAACCTTTCAGTTAGTAGCCAAATGTGTAACCAAGGAGCAATTCGGGCACTTTCATTCAGAAATATAGGTACTTTTTGCTTTCCATTTACTATTACCTAATTTCTATGATAAGAGTATCTAGGTATATATGTGTATTTATACCTTTTAAAAGGAATTGAGAAGCTCTTTGTTATTCACTATGGCCTAAGCATGTGTATTCTAGGTCTACATTAATCCATATTAAATATTGTTTGTAATCTCTTTCTATTTTAATTATTCTTCGATTCAACACCTTTATTGAGGTTCCACTAATGCAGGCACTGAACTAAGAAACAGATACAGCAATGAACAAACAGATAAAGCAAGAAAACATTCGAATTCATAGTATCAGACAAATATTTTCTCCTAAAATATTTGTTTCAAAACCAACCCACGGGTCCAAACACCAAAACCAGATCACTGACATCCAGTCAATGCCGACTCACAGGGCCCGGTGCTGGGTTTCCCGCCTGTAGCTGTTGATGGGCGTAGAAAGCCCAGTCTTTCCCGTAGAGCTGCCTACCGCTGGCTGCAAGCTGCCGGTCCGCACATAACCACAACACCAGCAGGGTCGTGTTTTTATTTACAGATGAGGAAACGGGCTTATTTGGGCAGATCCCTGGATGTCACACAATTATGTAGGGGAGCTGAGATATAACTTCAGGTCTTTTCTCAGTCTCTCTAAAATTAGAACCACCTGTTTTTCAGAGTTTACTTCCGTAAAAATTTCAACTCACTGCAGCGCAGTCCATTCGAACTCCTAGCTCCCCTATCGTCCTGAGTAGAGCTGTCCCTGTGGATATATATCCTCGCCTGTCAATCTTCACAGAGTAAAATGCTGCCTCGTTCTCCTGGAGAGCAGTGGGTAGGTTTGAGTTGCTGACCTTCGCAGTCTAGTCTCCTTTCCAGGCAGGCCAGCCCCGCAGATGTCTCCTATATGTGCCCCACTCTTCCATCTTCAACTTCGTGTGGGGTTTTCTTATTGAAAACCCTAGCTAATAAAAAACCTATTTCATTCTCAAAGATTGCACTAAGGTGTCACCCTCCTCATGAACTTAACCTTATCATGTTTAATTCAACACCTATAAGTATGTGCTCTGAATTCATTAATTTGCAAATATTTGATGTGCATCGTTCATGTTCTTGGTGCTGGCATAAGAGAAGACAAGACTAGTAAGGTGCCTGTGTCTACACCACTAGATTCTTAACACATAGTAATTTGACTTAATTATCTTTTATTTTCCTATACTGGCATTTTTTCCTCTTTTACTACTATTTTACTACCTACTTAACTCTCAAAATGTCCCATAAACTTTCTCTTGGACTTAAAACATTTTTTTTTCTAGTGCGAAAACTCCGTATTTGCTTGTGGATGACTTACAATTTTACATCTTCAAATTTGCTCCTTTCCTGAGAGAAGATCACATTTTACACATTTGTTTGGTTATTTTCAATGTATTCTTTGCCTTCCAAAAGTTTCAGGAATTCAAATACACAATTAGAAGGCTATTTCAATAATTCAGGTGAAAGATGACTTTGACCAGACAGAGACAGGCCATGGGGATGGAGGGGGTTGAGATGTAATGGCTATTAATAGGGTAACAGTGATGGAAGGGATTTGGAATCTCAATGAATTTCTGAGGAGATGAATAAGGAAGTTAGATTTTAAAAGTACTATTTAAAATAATTTAATACAAAAATCCAAAGATTCATTTTGGATTTGGAATCCTACTAATTTAGAACATGTCTAGCTGTGCCATGTCAAAAGGTTTGGATTTAGCAAGTAAGGTAGCATTAAGTTTTAACATCTGCTCACATCCCAGGAGCATCCTTAGTTCACAGGAAGTACTGAGACCTGTAAGTACGCTAAAAAAACACACACACCAGAAAACCTGGTTAACAGTTTCACAGTGTTATCCTGCCACCTAGTGGCTGAATCTACGCATCCTCCCTGCATCTATTTGGGTTTTTCAAGGCATTATCAATGTAAATATTCATTTTCTTTATTAGAATTTTCTGCTTCTAGGAACTTCGCCAAGGTCCAATTATGGGAAATAATGTAGTTAAAGATATTGATGGTTGTCTGTGCTAATGGATTTATTACAAAAATAATTGGCATAATAATTATCATCTAAGTTGTTCGGTGTTCTTTTAATTGATTAGAATGTTATATGTGTTCAGAAAATTAAATATGTGATTTTTTGCTTTTATTGGGTACTTCTTAATGATGAGGACTGATTTTGCTCATATTGTTTTGGAAAAGGAACAACTAACTTGAACGCGTATTTCTAAAAAGTTAGGGGAAAATATTAAAACAAAATTTAATAGTACAATTGATAGCAGGCTTGGTTTTCCAACCTATATTATAAGGCAAACTACTCTTGGTTATTGGTAGTATGTTTCTCTCTAGTAGCTATATAGATTCACAACTAATTTAAATCTCCAAATTATCATAATATATGGTCAGTTTAAAAATAACAGTAGTGGCTGATACTAGTTATGGAATGTTTCCAATATGCTACCCATCATGCAATTAAGTGATAGATGACTGCCGTCCCCACAGAGCCCAAGATCAGGACAGTATTATTATTCCCAGGTAAACAATATCAATATTTTGAGCTAATTCTGTTCCATCTCAAATTACTACACTTACAGTCCCTTGATGACGTGACCTCCCTAGGTCCAAAGCCTCTTTGTCATGTTTAGATTAATTATGTTTCTTCAGTCATGGGAATTATGGTGTCCACAAGCATTTCTACTTCTCACAAAACAATCAGTCAAGTTTGAGTGTATTTTTTCCCCAAAAAACAATCGTGTAAAATGGGGATTCAAAAGAGTTCATGGGAGGATGGAATGAAAAGTTAGTAGAATTTTTCTAGGAACTTTTTGAAGTCCCTATAAAACAATGAAGCGTGTTAGAGTATCACATTCCTGTGAGGAATTTATCTTTGTCAAAGACTGTTGCTTAAAGAATAGAGAGCCCTATTGAAAGATTGGAGGGGCCTGCCCAGAGGACCTGACCTAAGTCAAGCCACACCCACACGAGCACACTCCTCTCCCCATGCATGGGTCCACGATTGACCCAGGGAGCTTAGGTGTGGAAATGGAGACTCTTCTGTGCACCTGTTTCCATCCAGCTCTGGGTGGCATGATGCCATAAGGTCCTGAATGACTTGGACTCTCCAAGGATTTCTCCCCAGGTCAGAGGACTGAAATGATACTACCCCAATGTTTCTCCGCAGTCTCCGGGGTTACGAGAATAGAGGGAACCCTGGAGAAACACTGTGCGCCAGCCTTGTCTGTTGGTGTCTCTCACTGCTAGACGAAATCCTACAAACTCAGGAAATGGAGTCTTCTAAACCGTACAGGTTCTAAAACTAGCAGGAGAGCCATGAGAATGACATGACCAGTCCACAGAGACCATTCTCTTTGCTCTGTAATAACGCCTTCCACCAAATTTCCTCCCCCCCCCCCCAAATCCTAACCAGGTTAATTTCACATTAGGAACCCAATCCCAAAGCCAAACCCATTGCTACCAAGTTGATTCCAAGAGTTCCTAGTCACCTGCATTGTCTTCTGCTCACCACCCATTTCAACCTGGATAAAGAATATGATCGTAAAATATATTTTTTCAATCATTGATCATAAAAATATGATCATAAATTTTTTTAATCGATAAAATCACTGCTCTTCTGAGGTAAAGGACACCATGTTTTATCGCTGTAGTTGGGTAAAGAAGCAGCATCTCTCAGCAATCCCTTCTGCCTTCACTGAAATGAGCTGTTGTGGACTCCAATTCACAGTCACTCAACTTAGGTCAGCCCAGGACCACACCACCTAGAATGTTTCTTAGTCAATTTTCCAGAAGGAGATTTCCACGTCTTCTGAAATAGCTGAGTAGATTCAGACTTCCAATCTTTCTGCTAGCATCTAAGCGTGTTAACACGGTTACCATCTCGGGACTTCTAGGCCGAGGTAAACGTTTTACTTCCTGAGCTTCGTCAAATGCACGGCGGTTCAAGCCCACTAGCCATGGAAGGAAGATGAGGCTGCCTGTCGCAGGAAAGATCTGTAGTCTCACAAATCCCTTTCTATTGTTAGAATAAACTCCATGCCAGGCTTATTAGACATGCAAGAAGCCCTACTGCAGCGGCGGGTCAGGTATTGGGCTGAGAGCTGCAAGGTTAGCTGTTCCAACCCGCTAACTGCTCTGTGGGAGAAAGATGAGACTATCTACTCCTGTGAAGACTTACGGTTTCAAAATCCCTATTCAGTAGCGATGGGTTAGAATCAACCTGACAGCATTGGGGTTGGGTTTATGAGTAGTGCAAATGCGGTAGACTTGCCTAAGGATAATCAAGATATTAATGGTTCTAATCCAGCCAGAGGCATCTTGAATGTAGTCCTTGCAATCTGTTTCTTATGGCTTTCAGCCATCCAAACCCAATGGAGCACAGTTCTACTCTAAAGCATATGAAATTGCCATGACTCAGAATTAACTGGATGGAAATTTGTGGTCCTACTTGTAAAGAATATATACTACAAATGTTGTAATGATTTCTTCCCTAGTATCACTTTCTACATTTACTTTACCAGGTTATAAATACTTTGTATTCCAATTTTATCAGTGTAAAATCTGTAAATCTTGCAGAATGCTTCTTTCCCCATGGAATAAAGGAAGGGGCACTGACTACGTGGCCTGTTGACCACGGTGGTGTATGTATAACTCAGACTTTTCTTTCTTTCAAAAGGAATGCTGTAAGGAAAGGATCGATTCTATTTTTGTTTTGACGAAATACATGTTTCAATGAATTCATGTAGTGCCGACACACATCTCTGCTTCTGTTTGCAGGTGATAAAGAAGGCCATTGTTGAAAGCATTGAATATAGAAGACAACATCCATCTCGTTGCTCCGTTTCACTCAGTAGCGTTGAGGCAAGGCGATTCTTCAATAAGGAGTTTCTAGACAAACCCACAGCATAGTTTGTGCACGGGAACAGGCAGGCATTTCTGATGTGGAGGCAGTCTGAAATTCCTTGACAACTGGATTTGAAGCATGGTACAGACAGTAGTACTGATCATAAGATACTGGCTGATTTGAGATGATGTTGACTATGCACAAAATATTCTTAACTACAATTTCCATCAGCTCCTGATGTAGAAATATATGCTGTATTTTTAAACATTACTTACTAGCTATTTTATGTGTGCTCCTGTTAAAAATATCTTTTTAAGATATTTAACAGTTCAATCTCAGTAAGACTGCATCGTTGTGAATGCTATTCACTGACTAGATTTATTCATGCTATGAGACAACACTATTTCTTATTTATATGTATACATATATGAAATAAACCAACCTATAAACAAAATTCTAGCACGTGTCTGTCCGTGTGTCATGCCGCGGTGGCGTAGGGATTGCTGTGGTGCTGGACGCCATGCTCCCAATAATGTCAGCTGGTCACCACAGTGAACAGCTTCCAGACGAAGAACAGACTATGAAGAAGGAATAGGCTGTCCACTGCTGAGAAATTAGCCACTGAGAACATTATGGACAGAATAGAAACTCTTCAAAACCTCATGAATAGAAGTAGAGCGTTGTCGGAGATAGTGCCAGAAGCGGAGCCCCTCAGATTGGAAGTCACTCACAGTAAGATTGAGAAAGGACTGCCTTCTCAAAGCAGAATTGACCATAATGGCAGGGATGGAGTAAAGCGTGTGGGAATAAAGCCTTAAGGACCTTCAAGTGCTGGTGGGAAACCATTCAAAATGAAAAGAAACAGTAGCAGATTTCTATTAATGATCAGAACTTGGAACGTACAAAGTATGAATCAAGGAAAATCGGAAGTTGAAAAACTTGAAATGGAACATACTCAAGTGGACATTATAGGTACTAGTGAGCTGAAATAGACGGGCACTGTCCATTTTGAATCAGAAAATCATATGGTTTACTAAGCTGGGAATGAAATAATTGAGAGGAATAGCTTTCATTCATTATTTTAAAAAAATTCATGATCTATGTTGAAGTACAGTGCTGGCTCTGATAGGATTGATCTATCCTCATTCAAGGAAATCCTATCAATACAACTATTAGTCAAATTTATCCAAGACCATCAAAGATAGTAATGAAGTTGAAGAATTATACCAATGTCTCCTGTCTGAAATTGATCAAACATGCAGTCAAGATGCACTGATAATTATTGGCATTTGGAATGCAAACGTTAGAAACAAAGTGGAAAGAACAGTATTTGGAAAATGTAGACTTGAAGATAGAAATGAAGCTGGAGATTACATGATAGCATTTTGCAAAACCAACGATTTGTTCATCACAAGTGGCATGGACAAAGACCTGAAATTGGGAAATAAAAAAGGAAAAACATGCTGAACATATCTTAAACTGAAAGAACTCAAGAAAAATAAATCAAGCCTTTAGTTACAATATGGAAAGTTTCTCTAGGTAAAATACTGAACAATGCAGGAAGCATCACACAAGATGGAAAGAATACAGAGTCAGTGTACCAAAAAGAACCAGTCAATAGTCAATGTCATATAACGGCAAGAGGTAGCATAAGAGCAAGAATTGATGTAATGAAGGAAGAAGTTCAAGAGACACCGAAAGCATTAGCCCAAAATAAGGCACCAGGAATTGATGGAATACCGATTGGAATGGTTCATCAAATCGATGAAGCACTGGGCGCTCTCAGTGGTTTATGCCAAGAAATTTGACATTTACTGGAAGAGATCCATAATTGTACTCGATTCATTTCTTTGGTGACCCAACAGAATGCTCAGATCATAGAATAATATCATTAGTATTACATATAAGTAAAATTGCGCTGAAGTTTATCCATCAGTGGTTGCAACCGTACATTAGCAGGGAACTGCCAGAGGTTCAGGATGGATTCAGAAGAGGACATGAAATAAGGAATATCGATGCTGATGTCTGATCGACCTTTGCTCTAGTCAGAAAATACCAGAAAGATTTTCACTTATGATTAATTGACTAATTGACTATGCTAAGGCATTCAACTCTGTGAATCATAACAAACTATGGATAGGCTTGATAAAAATTTGAATCCCAGAACACTACTTTATTCTCACGCAGAATCTGTACATGAACTGAAAAGCAGTTGTGCAAGTAGAACATGGGCACACTGCATGGTTTCAAATCAGAAATGATGTTCATCAGGGTTTCATCTTCTCAATATACTTATTCACTCTGTATGTTGAGCAAACAGTCAGATAAATTAGAGTCTCTGAACAAGAATGCAGCCTCAGGATTGGATGAAGGCTTATCACAATTTTATTTGTTGAACCTGAGGAGGATTTGAAGCACTTACTGATAAACAGCAAGGTCTATAACCATCAATATCAACAATAACTCAGTGCAAAGAAAACCAAATTCCACACAGGAAAACCAGTATGTTAAGCTTAGAAAAGATAAATGTGTAAAGAATTTTGTCTTGCTTGGCTATACAATCAATGCTCATGGAAGCTGCAGTCCGGACATCAAATGCCACATTGCATTGGGTAAATCTGCTGAACAAGACTCATTAAAGGGTTGAGAATCAAGTGTGGCTTTGGGACCAAAGTGAGCCTGACGCAAGTCATGGTATTTTCTATTGCCTCATAGTCATGTGAAAATCGGACATTGAAAAAAGAAGATGAAAGAAGAATGGATGCTTTTGAATTACGGTGCTGGTGAACAATATTGAAAATACCATGGACTGATAAAAGAACAAATTGGATCTCTCTTGGAAGAATTATAGCTAGAATTCTCTTTAGAAGCAAGAATGGCAAAACTTTGAGCATGCTATCAGGAAAGACCAGTCTCTGGAGACAGATATCTTCCTTGAATAAGTAGTGGGGCAGCCGAAAAAGAGGAAGGTCCTCAACAAGAAGGGTTTACACAGTGGCAGCAGCCAGACACAAGAGCACTTTGGGATGGCACAAGATTGGACAGTGTTTCACTTTGCGATACATGGGGTTGCTGAGAGCCGGAACTGACTGGACCTAAACAAGAACAAGAAACACATTAGCATGAAGAGAGAAATACCATGCTTTTCGTTATTATTTTTGTGAACTATTACATGGTTTCCAAGGCAGGCTCAGAGTCACTTTTCAATAAAATTCAAATTTTGAATTTATAATTTAAAATTTTGATTCTATTTCTCCAGGAAAAGTATATGTAATTTGTTTAGATGGCTTTTCTGTTGATAGGTGCAGTGCAGTCATTTCTGCTCTATAGAAACACCATGCACAACAATTAAACACTGCAAGTTCCATGTGTCAGTCCATTGTGACAGCCACTATGGTCCTCTTTCTTTTTTAAGGGCCCTACCTTCTTTTGCTACCCTCTACATTACCAACAATAATATCTTTTCCCATGCAAAATGAAAACCTTTACCACTTCTGTCTTTTCTCCATTTATCATGATGTGACCTACTGGTCCATTTGAGAGGATCTGGTTTTCATTACATTGAGTGTGGGATTATAAAGAGACTTGTCCCTAGCTTTGTCTCCCCCAAAGACATGCCAAACATTAGTGGCTTTTTGTTAGCATATGGGTCGAGGTCAGATGCTTAGAGACATCCTCCCTGAAGGCAGTCAGTTGCCAGAGGACTGTCTAGTCCCACCACACAGTGGCCCCACTCCCTGCTGTTGAGGACAATGGGCTACTTCTCTCTAGAGGCCTGCAGTCATTGATTTGGTTCCTGTAGGTGCAGTTTACACTCTACTGATTATGGTGCCAGGGAACAGGTCAAACTCGCTCAGTGACATCCAAAGCTAGGCTGCCATCCTGAATCTAGGATCCGCCCGTCTTGCCACATGTATACCCCCAATCCCTCCTCTCCTTATTGCGTGTCTATACCTAGACCACCCCCTTCCATTACTGTATTACCTATAGTACGACCCTTCCTGTGATGTATGTCTTTACCTGTAATTAGTGGGCTTGCACTCCCCCCAAAGGTATATAGGCCTGGGGTAGCAATAAAGAGCTCTCTTTTGACTCCTCCCTTGTCGGCTCCCCCACTTCTCTCCCATCCTGACTCCCCCATTCCCTTTCCCCTTGTCCTCATTCCCTTCCCCTTCTTTCCACGTGGACTACCAAGTGGAGATGAGGTGAGCATGCTACCATGAAATGTGTCTGACTCCATTATTGCAATCTCTCTTGTCTCTCATGCTCTCTATGACTTTAATACAATATTTATCTATTTTAACCATACAATTGTACCTATCGAACCCATGATTAGTGGTGCGGGGTTGGCACCCCTTCCAACCACAATTGAGTTGACTGACTTTGACTTTGGCACAATGACACTATGTCTTCTTTCCATCTTCTTGAGATAATTCCTGCATCATTAAATATTAGCTCATAGACCCTTTCAATATTGCAACACAAGGCTTGAATTTTTTTCAGTTCCTTCAGGTTTATACATGCTAAGCCTCTTTAGAGGTAATATTTATTTATTCAGCAAATAGAAAATGGAATAACTTTCCATGTAACATTTTACACTGCTGATACCATACTGGGTGTGTAGCTAAATAAAAAGAGAGAGCAGTTGATCATGAAGGAAATCCAAGAAGACTGACCAAGATTGATCCAGTATAGACTTGCCTTTGATTATTGTGTGCTTTCGATTATTGCGATTTCGATTATTGTGATTTCAGTTACCATGGGGTTGTTAGGTTCAGAATCAGAGCTCCTTATATAAGGTCTATTTCTTTGTCTTTTGCTCTTTGCCATGCCCCCACCCCTACCATAGGATGAATAGAAATTGAATATTGTCAGATCCTGAAGAACATTGTTAGAGATAGTGCCAGAAAATGATTTAGTGCCAGGAACTCAGCTTGGAAGGCACTCAAAATTGCCTGATGAAGAGCTGACTTCTCACAGTAGAGTTGACCACAATGGCATAGGTGGAGTAAAGCTTTGGGACCTTCATTTGCTAATGCAACATGGCTCAAAATGATGAAACAGCTGCAAATATCTATTACTAATTAGAACTTGGAATGTAGGAAGTATGAATCTGGGGAAATTGGAAGTCATTAAGAATGAAATGAAACTCATATTCATCATCAAAAAGGACATTGCAAGATCTATCTTGAAGTAAAATGCTGTCTGTAATAGGGTTATGTTTACCAGCATACAAGAAAATCAAGTCAATACATCTATTATTCAAATTTATCCACCAATCAATAAATGCAGTGATGAAGAAATTGAAGAATTTTACCAATGTCTTCAATCTGTAATTGATCAAACATGCAATCAAGGTTCATTGATAATTATTGATGATTAGAATGCAGAAGTTGAAAAGAAAGAGAAAGGAACAGTACTTGGAAAATGTGG